GAAGGATGACTGGAATAGCAAAGTGGACGAAATACGGAAGCGGATGGCAAGCATAATCATCGGGAATGCCACTAACGTAAAATCGATAGCGTGCAAGAGCTCAAAGAGCTGAAACTAAAACCAGATTATGCTATGCAGCGAAAGCAGAGAAGCTGTAGAATCAACAACTGAGGGATAGAGAACAGCTCTTGAGAAGAACGGGTTTCGACTTAGCAAAGGCAAGTCACAATATACGGCTATTTCAATGGAGAAAATAGCCTGAAAGCCGTCAAACCAGTCAAGTGGTGGTAAGCATGGTGAATCAATCCCAACAATTCAAGTACCTTGCTTTCACCCTGCAAGAAAATGAAGAAATCGACAACCTGGTTTCTAATGAGCCACTAAGAAATGGCGATAGTGCAAGTAGTCCGGGTGGGTATTAGAGTAAAGTCGATCGGTCAAGGGTCTGGAGCTCAATCAGCCTGAATTGTCGATCGGTCAAGAGTCTGGAGCTCAATCAGACTGAATTGCCACCTTCCCGGAGTATACCAGAACCAGCCAATTAGTAGCAGTACCTGCATTGACGCCCTTTTATTTAGAGATTCAGCACAAACGAGTACAACTTAAAGGTATTCAGAGTACAGCTAATTATTGACGGCTTCTTTCCTTTTCTGCTTCGCTATTTCCTTCTACTCCTTAGGAAGTGGAAAAGAAAAATTTGCCATCGTTGGACTGTAGGTCTTCCTTCATTTTCATGATTGTGCCCTTCGGTTGCCCTTCTTTCAATTAAACTAATCGTCGGGTGCTGATCTTCGTTTCTATGCCATCAGTCAGGAATACCTCATTTCATAGGCAGAGTCGATAGCCATGTGACAAGCGTAATATGTAGTGTTCTGTTTCCTTACCATAGAATGGTAGTAAATTTTCAACACTGGAAGGAAGAAGGGCGAGTGACCCCGACCGGCACTGGAACTTGGAGCCCATCGGTTCTGAGTTCGACGCTGTGCTGACTGAACAACCCCAGTCAGCTGCAATGTATGGTCAATTCGTTGCTCAAGAGAGTTCGTAAATTACTACTCTTAAACAACTGCAACCAGAAACGAATCTCACCTTTCGGATCATCGAATCGAAGATTAGCTGCAACTTCTGTGTCCACCGGAAGCGTGTAGTTGCGAAACAAGTGAAGACGAATCGGATGTTTGTCTGCCATAACAGTTGTTATTATAAACCTTAAATCAACACTATGAATGGAAATTCAGTGGCAAACAAGCAAAGATACTGAAATAAAAAATACCTCTTGCCCGTTATGTCAGCGAGAGTGGTTTCAGCGCCAATCTCGTCTTTGATGAATTTTGTCAGTGTCTCCGAATCGTACGGTCGCTTGCGACCGTCGAACAACTGATCTTTTAGGCGAATGTATATTTTCTGGCACTCGCGCAGCGATTTTCCTAAGAGGGTAACACGCGTTAACGCAGGTAGAACCAAAGTGCCCGTTTTGCAATAAATGATAAAATACTGTCATACCGGTTTTGCCTTTAACACGTACTTATCAACGCATATGAATATTTATTAATATGTGCGCATGCAAAATATATATGCATTTGTGTATATCCGAAAAAAATATATACCTGTACGTACAGTAAGAATGCTCATACAGCATAAACATGTATTCGTTCATCAGAGTACAAAAAATAACGCGTAACTCTTCCAAAACCACATTTTTTTTCGAAACCATCGCTCGCAATTAGCGCAAGGTGGCTCTAGCGAAGAAACTGATGCGGATTTACACCTGGCAGTGCAAAATGTTTCAAATATTATTGAAGCGTGGTCTGTCCCTTCCTCACGCAACTAAGAGCAAGAAGACCGTGCAATACGCTATGAAATACGGTCAGAGAGGAATTACACCTTATTTTATACTCATACTCAAAAATTTACAAATATGTAATTGTATAAATATATGCACAAACATGCTTATATACATGCATAAGATGAACATAGAAATATAGCATACAAATGCTTGGAATATGCTAACACTTGTATGACCAAAAGTACTGGTATTCATATATATACTACAAAATGCATACAGGTCATATACTAGCTACCCATTATAAGTGCGCATAGCACGAGCATGTATGAGTATGTAAATTTGTCCACCTATTCACATATTTAGGCAGCTTAAGTATAAACACCACTGCATATATCTGTGCAGTAGGTAAAAACGCATGAAATATGCACAAATAACCATTTAAATATCCATAATTATTCACGCGTGCAGAAAGCACATATATAAAGTAATATAAATGTTTGCATTAAATTGATACACACAAGGAACATATATAGTACTTCATATTTGTAATTAGTAAATGTATAAGTACATAACGTGCAGTTGACCGAAAAGTTGATCCTCTAAATAAAAGATACATTTAATGCAGTGTCGCTAATGACAGAATCAGTAAGTTACTATGCTAAAGCACTAGACTTACCACGCAACAAACCACTGGCCAGGATGGCACCGGTACTAGTCCCGCCCACCCAATCGACGTAGTCAATCATAGGTCGACGGAGGTACTTCTCGATAAACAGCAGCACCTGAAAAGGGATAGAAAAGTACAGCGAAGTGCGACTGGATCGATCTCAACCCGAATTT